AATACAGACAAATAAGCCTTACCTTTATAGTGGGAAAATTTATGGAATCAATAATTGCCTACGCAATTCGTAGCCATCTTGACAGGCACAGACTGATTAATGAATCTCAACACGGTTTTACAAAGGGGCGTTTCTGTCTTACGAATTTACTAACTTTTCTCACTAAGGTGTTTGAGGAGGTAGATCATGGTAATGAATATGATATTGTGTATATGGACTTCAGTAACGCTTTCGATCGAGTTCTGCATCAGAGGCTATTGAGGAAACTTAGGGCACACGGAATAGGAGGAGAAATTTTTTCCTGGGAATAGGCATGGCTGACAAATAGGCAGCAGAGAGTTTGCATAAATGGGGAGAAATCGAGAAATCAGAAAGGGGCACGTCACAAGCGGTGTTCCTTAGGGGTCAGTGTTGGGCCCGTTGTTGTTCACAATTTACATAAACGACATAGATGAGGGAATAAACAGCGACATAAGCAAATTTGCTGATGACACCAAAATAGGCAGTCCAATTCATTCTAATGTGGACACTAGAACACTCCAGAATGATTTGAATAGACTGATGCAATGGTCGGAGAAGTGGCAGATACAGTTTAATATTGACAAATGCAAAGTTCTAAATGTTGGACAGGTATATAACCATGCGACATATAAACTAAATAATGTAGATCTTAATACTACTGATGCGAAAAGGATTTAGGAGTTCTGGTTAGCAGTAATCTAAAACCAAGACAACAGTGCATTAGTGTTCACATAAAGCTAACAAAATTCTTGGCTTCATATCTAGAAGTATAAATAATAGAAGTCCTCAGGTTGTTCTTCAACTCTATATATCCTTGGTTAGGCCTCATTTACACTATGCTGATCAGTTCTGGTCACTGTATTACAGAATGAATATAAATACTCTGGAAAACGTACAGAGAAGGATGACAAATTTGAATACTACTGATTGCGAAAAGGATTTAGGAGTTCTGGTTAGCAGTAATCTAAAACCAAGACAACAGTGCATTAGTGTTCACATAAAGCTAACAAAATTCTTGGCTTCATATCTAGAAGTATAAATAATAGAAGTCCTCAGGTTGTTCTTCAACTCTATATATCCTTGGTTAGGCCTCATTTACACTATGCTGATCAGTTCTGGTCACTGTATTACAGAATGAATATAAATACTCTGGAAAACGTACAGAGAAGGATGACAAATTTGATCCCTTGTATCAGAAATCTTCCCTATGAGGATAGACTAAGGGCCCTGAATCTGCACTTTCTCGAAAGGCGTAGAATTAGGGGGGATATGATCGAGGTGTATAAATAGAAAACAGGAATAAATAAAGCAGATGAAAATAGCGTGCTGAAAATTTCCATCCATGACAGGACTCGCAGCAATGGTTTCAAGTTGGAAAAACTCAGATTCAGGAAGGAGATAGGAAAGCACTGGTTTGGTAATAGAGTTGTGGATGAGTGGAACAAACTCCCGAGTACAGTTATTGAGGCTGAAACGTTCTGTAGGTTTAAAAATAGGTTAGATAAATGCATGAGTGGGTGTGGGTGAGTGTGAGTTGGACCTGACTAGTTTGTGCTGCTGGGTCTGGTGCTGTGGCTCTTTCTTGAGTGGAGGTTACCAGACTGGGTGGGTTATTGGGCTAACCCAGGGGAGGGGGGTCATTGGGCTAATCCGGGGGGGGGGGACATGGACCTGCTCCGCATGGGTCAGTAGGCCTGTTGCAGTGTTCTTTCTTTCTTATGTTCTTATGTAACATTAGGTGCCTGTCCAGTGCCTTTTTCAAGACAGCCAGGGGTCTATCGGCAATCTCTCTTATGTCTGGTGAAATTGTCTACCATAACACACAGATGTTTGTTGCGCTGAAGTGAACTTCCGAAATTAGCAAACAAATCTAGCACAACTCTTACCCAAGGTTTGCTAGTAGTGAGATACACTTGGATTGGATTAGGATCATTAACATTACGTTTATGCTGCATACAGACACTACATTTCTTATACTGAGAAATATCATTTGCCAAACGAGGCCAAAATTATTTCAATTTGGCTTGTTTTGCAGAACGAGTGATACCAATGCATGCAACACCTGGTACATCGTGGCTACATTCACTAGTGACTGGAATTACTAACTGGTATACCCTTCTGCTAGGAGTACCTAACTCGGCAGTGTGATACAGTAACTCTTGGCTTGTGACAATGCCAATGATGGGTGCTGGTGGCTTCATAGAGAGTTAGATCTTCTTGTAGCAAGAAGCGAATCACTCCAGATCACATGGAGTCTGTTCTTTCAGCGTTCTTTACATCCTAAACCCTAAATGGAGGGTCTGCTATTACTGTACTAATATGATATGAAGAGCATCTGTGACTACATTTGATTTGCCAGTAAAGTCAAGGACCATCTGGCTAATCTTAGAATAGGTTGTTTATTCTGGAATAGAGGAAACGGTGGAACATAACCTGTCAAGACATGAACAGGGTACTGATATCAGAAGTGCTATAAAGATCATACAGTTGCTAAAGCTTCTTTTTCAGTTACTGTATAATTACGTTAAGCCTTTGTAAGGACTCAGCTAGCAAATGCAACTGTGCTGTACTTGCTATCGGTCTTCTGAGCTAGGACGGCACCTATGCCAATCGAACTAGCATCAGTTGTTAGATAGAAAGGCTTAGAAAAATCTGGGATATTCAGAACACGGGCACACTTTAGCTTTTCCTTGAGAGTTTGGAATTCTAATCTTTCACGGAAAGTCCAAACGAAATGAGCATCTTTCTTAAGCAACTCAGTTAAAGGTGCTGCTATAGAAGAAAAATTAGCAATGAATGATCTATAAAAAGCTGCTACGCCCACAGAGGATCTTACGGCATCAGCAGTTTTATGGGATGGAAAATTTAACACTGCAGTTACTTTATGTTGGTCAGTCATAACCCCTCTAGGAGTGACTATGTGACCAAGAAACTTGATTTGTGATCTGATAAACTGATATTTATACAGTTGATCTCTAAATTGGCTTCTACAAGCTTACCAAATACCACATCAAGACTTTTCATGTGTCTCCACATATTCGGACATGACAATTACGTCATCTAAGTACACCATGAGTGCATTACCTATGAGGTCTCTAAGTATACTTGTCATGACCCTCGAGAAAGTTATAGGCGAGGAGTGTAAATCAAAGGAAATGATAATGACCTGTTGAGGTTAGCTCTTGGCTGTCCTCGTGGAGAGAGACATGCAAAAACCATTGTAAGTGTAGCATGGTACATGAAAGTACACTACAAGTGTAACAAGTTACTTGAGAGTAGATTACAAGTGTAGCATCGTATGTGGAACATGAGAGTAAACTCTAAGTGTAGCATGGTATACCTAGAGTATCCCTCTCCAGGTACAATCCAGGTATACAATGCTGGACTTGTAGTCTACTGTCATGTTTCATGCACGATGCTACACTTGTAGTCCTCTCTCAAGTACCATGCTATATTTGTATTCTACTCTCATGTATCATATACCATGCTACAACTTTTAGTCTACTCTCATGCACAATGTATCATGCTATACTTGTAGTCTACTCTCGTGTATCATGCTGCACTTGTGTTTATTCTCATGTACCATGCTACACTTATAGTTTACTCTCATGTACCATGCTACACTTGTGGTCTACTATTACAACCCAGGAATTCAAAGACTTATTATCTTAGGTGTAAGGGAGCAAAAAAAAAACACACACACAGCAGAAAAACTTTTGACTTATAATTATCCTTCACCAAGTAAGGACAGAAGTATGTACACTATACACACCATGTACAGCAATAGTATCAGTGCACTCCACGGTGAGCAAGGCAGAATAGAAGCCACTAGAGAGCAGGCCGTGCTTCAACCAGCTCTAGAATGGGAATGACAAGGGCAGACAGTGTGTGGTACCCGCAACACCTCTGCGATTGCCAGAACCATCTTCTCTTTGGCTGAACCTGGGTACTGATCAAACAATGGGACCCCATCGTCCGACCCTAGTACTGGTTCGCGGTTAAGGAGATAGCCTTTCAATGAGGGTGTGTACATGTGCCGATGAAAGGTTACGTACTTTTTGCATGCCACATCTACTCTTTTGTATCATGCTACACGTGTAGTCGATTCTCATGTGTATGTTTCACTTTACAGTGGCACCAGAATCTAACCTGCTGTATAAGTGAGACTCTTCTGTAGTCTTAAGTTGTTTGTTGCATTAAGTGTTGAGTGTAGCTGTAGCTTCCCCTGGCCAATATCTTCCTATCTTGTAAGACTGTAGTCTATCTTTTGGAGCTTTAGTTTGTGTTATCTTGGACTTAGTATTGATGGTGTTGCAAAGTAGCTTTTATTGTAATGTGATGTGATTTGATCTTTGTGGAAATAAGATCAATAATGTTCTACAGTGAACTATTTGCCATTAATACTGCCAAGAAATTAACTTATTGTGCTCAAAGTTGGGAAAAATGAAGAGATGGAATATGTACAGTAATATGGTTTGAAAGTTTGAAGTTGAGTAACATGATCTATGTTGAACAGTTCTTTACAGATGCTTCTCATTTTACGATGGTCCGACTTACGATATTTCCATTTTACGATGGTCCGACTTACGATATTTCCACTTTACGATGGTGCGACAGTGATGCACATTCGGTACTAATAATGTTTTTCCCTTGTTTAACCAAAGTTTCCAAAGTCCTTTTCATTATGTCTACTAAACACCCAAAAGTGTCTCCTGTTTCTGGTATTTTAGTTAGTTTACAGAAATTTATTTGTTCATTTAGTTATTCAGTGACAGTAGTTATTTATTCTACAAGGGACTACCTTCACCTTTCCCTCATGAAATAAAAATTCTTAGAAAGAATAGGACCATCTATGATAAGGTAAGATATGTGAAACATGAATACTCTATAGTAATTAGTGATAATAATATCTGGGTACTCACGATGAGACGGCATCTTTGTGATGATGGTCGAGCATATGGCAGGTATACTGGTCAGTGTCACCTGCTTGTTCTACACATGTCACCGATGTCTTCCTCCTGAAGACTCACTCCCCCGCAGCTTTTGTTACAACTTCCCTGAAAGTTTTTGGCCTTCATGAACTGACCAATACCTGCAACATAAGACAAGTTGTCTGGAACTGTTCGTAGCCAGGACTCCAGAGAGACAAAGATGTTGACAACTGTTGATTTAGCTGACAACTACTGCAAGATGTCTGGTCGTAGGAAACAAGATTTTACAAAAAAAATGGAGACAAAAGCGATCATAGAAAGAGGACAATAGTCCTCACCGGGAGTGTTAGAAATGATTATGTGATAAGGGTAGATGAGTTATTAGCAAGTCATTAAGAATACCTGAGTTTTTCCTGGAGTTACCCGGAGAGGGTTTCGGGGGTTAAAAGCCCCCGCGGCCCGGTCTGAGACAAGGCCTCATGGTGGATCATGGTCTGATCAACCAGGCTGTTACTGCTGGCCGCACGCAAGCTGACGTACGAACCACAGCCCGGATGGTCAGGTACTGACTTTAGGATCTCTCCATGCCTTCTTGAAGACAGCCAGGGTTCGAGGGAATACAGTTCAAGGACCTTCAACCGTTCCCAGTAGTTACGGTGCCTTATTACACTTACGTGTGCCGTGAAGTTCTTTGTACACTTTCCAGGTCCTGCAGTGTCGCCAGCCTTTGAAGGGTCGTTAGTGTACAGCAGTATTCCAGCCTAGAGAGCACAAGTTCTGATCAAACAAAATGGGACATAAACTACATTGTATACCTGGAGAGATTTTCGAGGGTAAAACGCCCCCGCGGCCCGATTTTTGACTAGGTCTCGAGGCAGATCGGGGCTTGATCAAGCAGGCTGTTACTGCTGGCCGCACGTGTTAACGTGCGGCCAGCAGTACGAACTACAGCCCGGCTGGTCAGGTACAGACTTAAGGTGCCTGTCCAGTGCCTTCTTGATAACAGCCATGGGGGCTGTCTGTAATCCTTATTTATGCTGGGATGCAGTTGAACAGTTATTGTGTTGTCTCTTAGCGTACTCGTGGCGCCCCAGTTTTCATTAGGGGGGATGTTGCACAGCCTGACGAGACTTCTGTTTTCATAGGAAGTGTTTTTTGTGTGTAAATTTGGTACTAATCCTTCTAAGATTTTTTCCCGGGGTTATTATCATATATCTTTTTCCCCCCTGCATTCCAGGGGGTACCAGTCAAGGAAATTCAGCCTTTCCAAGTAATTTAGGTGTTTTATCATACATGCGTTGTGAAGGTTCTCTGTACATTCTCCAGGTTAGCAGTTTCACCTGCCTTGAAAGGCGCCGTTAGTGTACAGCGGTATTCCAGCCCAGAAGGTTCTCATTATCCATCCTATCATTTTCTAGAAGATGTGGTAGATACATTGTTGTGATCTTTGAAAGTGATGTCCTCTGACATGTCATTCACATTAGTTTTCCGCTCTATTGTGTAATTTGAATTTGTTTCATATTTCCATATTGTTTTTTAATTTCCTCAAGTTTTCCATATCGAAGTAACTGAAATTTCTAATCAATGAACTTCATATTGTTTTCTGTGGCCCATTTAAAGATTTGTTTCACGTTCGCTTGAAGTCATTAAGTGTCTTCGATGGAGGACACTCTTGCAAACTCGGGTGTCATCCGCACAGGAAGATACGGTGCTGTGGCAGGAATCTCTGTCTACATTAGATACGAGGATGAGGGACATTATGGGGCGAGTACTGTGCCTTGTGGAACACAGCTTTTCACTGTAGCCGCCTCAGACTTCACTCTGTTTACTCATACTCTTTCTGTCTGTTTGTTAGGAAGCTATAGATACATTTGCCAACTTTTCCCATTATTCCTTTTCCACATATTTTGTGCGCTATTACACCATGGTCACACTTGTCAAAGGCTTTCACAAAGTCTGTGTATACTACATCTGCATTTTGTTTGTCCTCTTTAGCATCCAAGACCTTGTCATAGTGATCCAGTAGTTGGGACAAGCAGGAGCGGTCTGCTTTAAACCCATGTTGCCCTGAGTTGTGTAACTGATGGGTATCTAGATGAATGGCGATCTTTCTTCTTAGAACCCTTTCAAAGATATTTATGATGTAGGATGTTAGTGCTATTGCTTTACTACCATCTTCGTTGAGCTGAGCTATGTCTGTTGTTTTAAGTGACTTTGGGATGACCCCTGTGTTGTCCATGTTCTCTCTCATAGAATGCTAAAGGAACGTGACAAGGGCTTCTTGCAATTTGTGATGAACACTGAGTTCCACGAGTCTGGGCCTGGGGCAAAGTCCATGAACATGTTATGCGATGTTAAGATAATATCAGAGATGATTAAATTGACCAAATTCTGAGTCTCGGTCATAAACAATTCATTTAGGTTGTCGACTCTTAGTCTGGTTAGAGGCTCCAGGTAAACTCCAATAAACACCGAGTCATACTGTGCCTTTAGTATCTCACTCATTTCCTTGATGTCGTCTGTGTACGTCCCATCTCGTCTAAGCAGGGGTCCAATACTGGATGTTGTTTTCGCCTTAGATTTGGCATAAGAAAAGAAATATTTTGAGTTTCTATCAATTTCATTTATGGCTTTTAGTACTTCGTGAGTTTCTTGCCTCCTGTATGATTCTTTGAGCTTAAGTTCGATATTTTCTATTTCTCTGACTAGTGCCTCCCTTCGGTTTTCAAATATACTGACAAGGTTTTGGTTTTCTATCTTCACTGCTAAAACTTTAACTATATCATTTGAGGTGTTTACTAGTTCCGAGCAAATGAGGGACTCTGTGATGTACAGGCCGACCCCAACCCCTTTTCCTTTTTTGCCTGCTTACTGTGTCGCATCTATATAGGTTATAAAAGGGGATTCATATTTCCTTGTCAAAATGATCCTTTATGTGGGCCTCTGAAAACCTGAAACATTGCGTTTGACTCTGTGAGCAGTCCGCTGATGAAAGGTATTCTGTTATTCGTTGCTTGTTTTAGACCCTGTATATTTACAAAGATAAATGGCGCCCAATGAGGCCACTGACTGTGCCTCCGCTCCTGAAGTGATCCGTATTGGTGTTTGATTTCTGTCATTTCTTGCCAGCTCATCTTCCTTCCTGGCACTAAAAAACCTCCATCTCTAGAGTAGTTATGGCTTCCCTGGTTTGTTTCACATGGTCTGAGTGACCTGGATCTTCTTGTCTTCTTTAGGTGGTGTGTCTGACAGTATATGTTGTAGTAGTCCTTTTCCCGGACTGAAGAGCGACACATATCAGTGTGAAAAAAATTGCAGGAAGGTGAGCTGCTTTCTCCTGTTATGTGGATGCAAAATTTTCTGGGATGGTTAAAATTGCATGTCCCACCAGCTTTACCGGATATTTCGTGCCAGCAGATACCCAAGGCATAATTGGCTTTGGTTTGGTTTCTGTTTGCCTTGATTTTTCTTGCCTACATTCTCTACCGGTGCGTTTTTTCTAACTCCCCGCTATCTACAATACCACCTCTACCAATGGTGCTTCCACCAATTTATACTGGTAATGTTTCCATATTATTCCTCGGAGCATCATCTCCGTGTTTGCCATCTCCAGTGGCATTGCTATTTTGTAACTCTGGAGTCCGCATATCTTTATACCTGTTTACCCAGCACCAGGACTCCTGTCTCCCTCCGGTGCACTGACTTTCTTTGTTCTTACAGGTACTGTCCTCCAAGACAACATCAACACCTGGGGTAGCAACACCATCTGGCACACTCCTTTTATTTACCCAACTGTTATACACTGTACTGTATACCTCCACTTACCTATACTGTAGCCCAGATCAATGAGTGATGTCACAACCAACACTGAGTTGAGGGAGTTGCCACCGATGTCAAAGAATGATGTGTTGAGCGAGAGGCGTTGACTTCGTGCAACTTGTGGCCCCAAGACCCGAGCAACAGTCAGCAAGAGAGTGCGAGCAACACCAGCCTCCTCTTTACTCACACCACTAACGTCAACCTCAACTTCTCTCTCATCTGTTCAACAATGAAGTAAACTCAAACTCTGACACTATTGTTGTAAATAAAAGATAAAAAAATTATTTCCCTTATTATGCCAACGATCTTTGAATATTGACAGTATGATAACCTGGTCACAGTATTACTATATCCATGGAGAAGCGCTAAACCTGTAGCATCATACACCACCCGGGGAATACCAGTAAATCAAGTTTGAACATAAGTACGTATTTCTTATTGCTTGGATAAAGACTCTTAACCAAGATATTTCCTCACACTGAGTGTGCGTGGTTCGAGCCCTGGCCGGGTGAAAGCATTGGGTGCTTTCCTTACACCTGAAGTGCATGTTCACCTAGCAAGTAAGTAGATACCTGGCTGTTAACCTACTGGTGTGGGTAGCATCCTGAAGGACAAGATTGGAGGACCATAATAGATATAATGCAGACAGTCCTGGATAACGCACTGACTTTCCTGGGTTATTCTGGCTGGCTAACATTACAGGGAATAATTCCCAGAAAAATCTTATCCTAAAGCATTATGGGTAAGTTGTAGACACAGGTAACTTCAATAAGCCAATCATCATTAAGGTGGTAATTATTAAATATATATAAGACAGAGATATACTAGAACATTGTTGAAGAATGTCTTAGTGTCTGGTACACACTGCACAAGCAAGTTGCTGCTATATCCATTGAATAATCCACTACATTTTACAGAAAACTCTGCATATAAGTGAGAATGAGGCAGGTTTACCTAGCATAACAAGTGTTACTTACACAATAAATAGCGGAGATATGGCATAGTGTGACAAGTATTACTGGTAAAACAAGTGATGGTGGTATGACACAATGACAAGTGTTACTGGTATAACAATAAGGGATGGTGGTGTGGTATAGTGAGAAGTATTACTGGTACAACAAGTGTGGTATAGTGAGAAGTGTTACTGGTAAAACAAGTGAGTATAGTAACAAGTGTTACTGGTACAACAATAAGGGATGGTTGTGTGGTATAGTGACAATTGTTACTGGTACAACAAGTGTGGTATAGTGAGAAGTGTTACTGGTACAACAAGTGTGGTATAGTAACAAGTGTTACTGGTACAACAAGAAGTAATGGTAGCATGGTATAGTGACAAGTGTTACTAGTACAACAACAAGCAATGGTAGTGTGGTATAGTGAAAAGTGTTACTGGTACAACAACAAGTGATGGTAGTGTGGTATAGTGAAAAGTGTTACTGGTACAACAACAAGTGATGGTAGTGTGGTATAGTGACAAGTGTTACTGGTACAACAAGTGATGGTAGTGTGGTATAGTGACAAGTGTTACTGGTACAACAACAAGTAATGGTAGTGTGGTATAGTGACAAGTGTTGCTGGTACAAGTGGTGGTGGTGTGATAGAGTGACAAGTGTTACTGGTACAACTGGTGGTGGAGTGGTACAAGTAACAAGTGTCACTGGTACAAGTGGTGGTGGTATGGAACAGCAAAAAGTGTTCTTGGTACAAATGGTTGTGGTGTGGTATAGTAACAAGTATTACTGGTACAAGTGGAGGGGGTGTGGTATAATAACAAGTGTTACTGGTACAAGTGGAGGGGGTGTGGTATAATAACAAGTGTTACTGGTACAAGTGGAGGGGGTGTGGTATAATAACAAGTGTTACTGGTACAAGTGGAGGGGGTGTGGCACAGTAACAAGTGTTACTGGTACAAGTGGAGGAGGTGTGGTACAATAACAAGTGTTACTGGTACAAGTGGAGGGGGTGTGGTACAGTAACAAGTGTTACTGGTACAAGTGGAGGGGGTGTGGTACAGTAACAGTGTTACTGGTACAAGTGGAGGGGAGTGGTACAGTAACAAGTGTTACTGGTACAAGTGGAGCGGGTGTGGTACAGTAACAAGTGTTACTGGTACAAGTGGAGGGGTGTGGTACAGTAACAAGTGTTACTGGTACAAGTGGAGGGGGTGTGGTACAGTAACAAGTGTTACTGGTACAAGTGGAGGGGGTGTGGTACAGTAACAAGTGTTACTGGTACAAGTGGAGCGGGTGTGGTACAGTAACAAGTGTTACTGGTACAAGTGGAGGGGGTGTGGTACAGTAACAAGTGTTACTGGTACAAGTGGAGGGGGTGTGGTACAGTAACAAGTGTTACTGGTACAAGTGGATGTGGTGTGGTACAGTAACAAGTGTTACTGGTACAAGTGGAGGGGTGTGGTACAGTAACAAGTGTTACTGGTACAAGTGGAGGGGTGTGGTACAGTAACAAGTGTTACTGGTACAAGTGGTAGTGGTGTGGTACAGTAACAAGTGTTACTGGTACAAGTGGAGCGGGTGTGGTACAGTAACAAGTGTTACTGGTACAAGTGGAGGGGGTGTGGTACAGTAACAAGTGTTACTGGTACAAGTGGGGGGGTGTGGTACAGTAACAAGTGTTACTGGTACAAGTGGAGGGGGTGTGGTACAGTAACAAGTGTTACTGGTACAAGTGGAGGGGGTGAGGTACAGTAACAAGTGTTACTGGTACAAGTGGAGGGGGTGTGGTACAGTAACAAGTGTTGCTGGTACAAGTGGAGGGGGTGTGGTACAGTAACAAGTGTTACTGGTACAGGTGGAGGGGGTGTGGTACAGTAACAAGTGTTACTGGTACAAGTGGAGGGGGTGTGGTACAGTAACAAGTGTTTACTGGTACAAGTGGAGGGGGTGTGGTACAGTAACAAGTGTTACTGGTACAAGTGGAGGGGGTGTGGTACAATAACAAGTGTTACTGGTACAAGTGGAGCGGGTGTGGTACAGTAACAAGTGTTACTGGTACAAGTGGAGGGGGTGTGGTACAGTAACAAGTGTTACTAGTATAAGTGGTAGTGGTGTGGTACAGTAACAAGTGTTACTGGTACAAGTGGAGGGGGTGTGGTACAGTAACAAGTGTTACTGGTACAAGTGGAGGGGGTGTGGTACAGTAACAAGTGTTACTGATACAAGTGGAGGGGGTGTGGTACAGTAACAAGGTGTTACTGGTACAAGTGGAGGGGGTGTGGTACAGTAACAAGTGTTACTGTACAAGTGAAGGGGGTGTGGTACAGTAACAAGTGTTACTAGTATAAGTGGTAGTGGTGTGGTACAGTAACAAGTCTTACTGGTACAAGTGGAGCGGGTGTGGTACAGTAACAAGTGTTACTGGTACAAGTGGAGGGGGTGTGGTACAGTAAGAAGTGTTACTGGTACAAGTGGGGGGGTGTGGTACAGTAACAAGTGTACTGGTACAAGTGGAGGGTGGTGAGGTACAGTAACAAGTGTTACTGGTACAAGTGGAGGGGGTGTGGTACAGTAACAAGTGTTGCTGGTACAAGTGGAGGGGGTGTGGTACAGTAACAAGTGTTACTGGTACAAGTGGAGGGGGTGTGGGTACAGTAACAAGTGTTACTGGTACAAGTGGAGGGGGTGTGGTACAGTGACAAGTGTTACTGTACAAGTGGAGGGGGTGTGGTACAGTAACAAGTGTTACTGGTACAAGTGGAGGGGGTGTGGTACATATAACAAGTGTTACTGGTACAAGTGGAGGGGGTGTGGTACAGTAACAAGTATTACTGGTACAAGTGGAGGGGGGTGGTACAGTAACAAGTGTTACTGGTACAAGTGGAGGGGGAGTGGTACAGTAACAAGTGTTACTGGTACAAGTGGAGCGGGTGTGGTACAGTAACAAGTGTTTACTGGTACAAGTGGAGGGGGTGTGGTACAGTAACAAGTGTTACTGGTACAAGTGGAGGGGGTGTGGTACAGTAACAAGTGTTACTGGTACAATGGAGTGGGGGTGTGGTACAGTAACAAGTGTTACTGGTACAAGTGGAGCGGGTGTGGTACAGTAACAAGTGTTACTGGTACAAGTGGAGGGGGTGTGGTACAGTAACAAGTGTTACTGGTACAAGTGGAGGGGGTGTGGTACAGTAACAAGTGTTACTGGTACAAGTGGAGGTGGTGTGGTACAGTAACAAGTGTTACTGGTACAAGTGGAGAGGTGTGGTACAGTAACAAGTGTTACTGGTACAAGTGGAGGGGGTGTGGTACAGTAACAAGTGTTACTGGTACAAGTGGTAGTGGTGTGGTACAGTAACAAGTGTTACTGGTACAAGTGGAGCGGGTGTGGTACAGTAACAAGTGTTACTGGTACAAGTGGAGGGGGTGTGGTACAGTAACAAGTGTTACTGGTACAAGTGGAGGGGGTGCGGTACAGTAACAAGTGTTACTGGTACAAGTGGAGGGGGTGTGGTACAGTAACAAGTGTTACTGGTACAAGTGGAGGGGGTGAGGTACAGTAACAAGTGTTACTGGTACAAGTGGAGGGGGTGTGGTACAGTAACAAGTGTTGCTGGTACAAGTGGAGGGGTTGTGGTACAATAACAAGTGTTACTGGTACAAGTGGAGGGGGTGTGGTACAGTAACAAGTGTTACTGGTACAAGTGGAGGGGGTGTGGTACAATAACAAGTGTTACTGGTACAAGTGGAGGGGGTGTGGTACAGTAACAAGTGTTACTGGTACAAGTGGAGGGGTGTGGTACAGTAACAAGTGTTACTAGTATAAGTGGTAGTGTGTGGTACAGTAACAAGTGTTACTGGTACAAGTGGAGGGGGTGTGGTACAGTAACAAGTGTTACTGGTACAAGTGGAGGGGGTGTGGTACAGTAACAAGTGTTACTGGTACAAGTGGAGGGGGTGTGGTACAGTAACAAGTGTTACTGGTACAAGTGGAGGGGGTGTGGTACAGTAACAAGTGTTACTGGTACAAGTGGAGGGGGTGAGGTACAGTAACAAGTGTTACTGGTACAAGTGGGGGGGTGTGGTACAGTAACAAGTGTTGCTGGTACAAGTGGAGGGGGTGTGGTACAGTAACAAGTGTTACTGGTACAGGTGGAGGGGTGTGGTACGTAACAAGTGTTACTGGTACAAGTGGAGGGGGGTGTGGTACAGTAACAAGTGTTACTGGTACAAGTGGAGGGGGTGTGGTACAGTAACAAGTGTTACTGG